CCCCTCCGCGCGCCGCGTGCGGTCCCGCCGGCGGGATTCCGAGCAGCGGAGCCGCCACCTCAGGTGAGGCGTGCGTGACCGGCGGGGAGGAGGACCCCGCAGGGCCTGGCTCAGGGGACCCGGCTGGGGGATCGCCACGGGGGCCTCCCCAGGGAGGGGCGGCGGGTGACAGGGAGAAAGGGGAGTGGGCCGAGGGCGGCTTCACGGCTTTAAGGGGTCCCGGGCCGGGGGCGTCCGTGGGGACGTGTGTGATGGGACTTGCAGGAAAGAAACCCGAACCCACTCAGTGACAGTGACAGTATTGGTAATAGGAGCAGCAGGGATGACAGCTTCGTCACAACGGTACCAGCAGCAAAGCTGCAGTCGTCGCTGCCGGTCACTTTTGTGGGCGCCTGTGCTGGGCTCGGTTCTTTCCCTGTTTCCCGTGTTTTACCTCACAGCTCTGTGAGAAATGGGGAAACGCAGGTAAAGCAAACGCGCTGGATGCGTTTATGAACTTTAAACGTGGCTCCCGCGGACCTCGTGAGCGCGGCACTGTCGCCACTCCCATGTGCAGGAGGAAATGCAAGCTCAGGTTAAGGCATTTGCCCAGCGACACACAGCTGGTGAGGGGCGGCCCACGGCAGAGCCGTGCTCCTGTCCCTCGGGTGGCACCCGCCACCTCGTTTTACCTTAGCAGGGAGTAGGGAGGCTTGGCAGCCGAGCCAAGCTGGTCAGCGCTTGCAATCATGTGGCTCTGGGTTTGGGACCTGGCCCTGCCGCTTGGTAGCTGCGTGACCTTGGACAAGTCACTTGGCCTCTTAGAGCCTGTGTCCTCATCTGTGAAATACCAATAATGGTAACGTTTGCCTCGAAGATTCTGCAAGGATGAAGCGACAGCCGGCCTGCAGGGGCACCTACCAGTTCCCGCTCAGTGAGCGGTTGCCCGGGTTATGATCACTAGGGAGTCAGGCAGCCCTGCCTCGGGACCCCCTTGGTCTGTGACCCCTGCGCGCCCACGGAACTGCCCTGGAGACTAAGTAAACTCTCAGGGCTGATGGGAAGAGCACCTCGTACCCCGCCAGCACCTGAAAGATGCTCGGCGAGACTATTTCTTTCTTTCTCTCCTGCTTTCCTGGCCGACTCCCAGCCTTCCAGTGTGCTCTCCTGAGCTAAAAGAGAGGAAGGGGTGGCAGTCTCACAACCGGGGGACAGGGCTGGGGCTGGCGCTCAGGCGCACACCCCGCAAACTGCCCATTCTCTGGAGCGTGTTACCCCTTGTCAGCCCCGCCATTCCAACTCCAGGGTTTGAAATAAAATCCAAGCCCAGTGCAGTGAGTCTGATATTCTACAAGCCTGACAAATTAGCCCGTTTTGCATGAACAATAATGGAAATGGCCTTGTGGTTTTTTGTTTTCTTGTGGGAAACCTCCACGTTCGTATCTGCAGGCCGATATGTATATGTCCGTGGTAGACCTTGGCTAGAGCTGCTTTGCAGACAGTAAAACTGCATGTAACTCCGATGGTTGGTTTGTGCCTGGCATGGCATGTCCTAGCATCTCTGCGAGTTTCATGTCGACTCGTCCTGGTTCACCTGTGACTTGCCTGGTTTTAAAAACAAACCCCTCGGTCCTAGGAAACCTGGTCGGTTGGTCTCCCTGCTCATTGTTTCTCAGGAAAGCCTGTTCATTTCAGGTTTGTGGTGGTTGTCGCTGTTTCGTTTTAGATTCTACCCAGGCAATCCTTGCCTGCCTGGCTTCCACCCGTCTGCAGCAAGGGGGCCTTTTGATGGGGAAAGGATGGGGCCCATGGAGAAAGCTATCCAACTCCCAAACGCCATTGCCCTGCTCAGTCCCCTAAGTCCTTTTGGCCAAATCTCCTAAAAGAGAGTGACCCACGGGACTTTTAATTAAAACCAAATCCCGGGCTGGCGGTGGGCTGGGGTTTCGTTGGAACGAAGACAGAAAGCGGGCGTCTGTTTCAGTAACTGTAAACCTCCCTGTGGAGTTAATGGGGAACTGTAGCCATAAGCACAAGAAGCCTCATTGTCTGGGCAACGGGAACGTCGTGAAGGAGGCCAGTGCCCCGTGGCCGCCGACCAAAGGGAAGGGCGGTGTGAGAGCCAGAGGATTCCCTGAGCCAGAGACCCAGACCCTGTAGGGTATTATGAGAGTTGAACCATCTCCAAAGTGCTTTGGGATCCATTTGCTCAAAACCTGTTAGAATGCCCGGCTTTGGTCTGGAGGTTTCAAAAGTTTCAGTTTGTTTTGGCCTTGGGCAGTAAAATGAGCATAACAGTTTCCCAAGAGGGTCAGGGAAGTCTCCCTGGGGGTTAAAGAATCTATTCATATAACAAGAACGACTTTATTTATGGACGCTAGAATTTAAATTTCATACATGAAAGTGTCACATGTCAAGCAGTATTGTTTTTTTGAATTTTTTAACCATTTAAAAATGTAAAAACCATTTGCGAGCCACACAAAGCTAAGCAGCCGACTGAATTTGTCCCTTAGGTTGTAGTTCGCTGACCCCTTGTTGGAGAAGGTCATTGAGAGACATGACCACGGGTTGACCCAAGAGCTGGACCTGGGCCATTGGAGGCTCCTCACCCCTTCCCGGTCCTTGGGGACAGTGTGAGATCTGCCCGCTGTTACCCCAGTGGGAGTCCTTGCGAGGATTCAGCCTTGGGAGAGGAGAGTCTGGCTGAGGCCGTCTGGACTGAATAGTGACTGACCCCAATTAAGGCCTCTGTATAAACTTTTAATATTCCTACAGGTGGGGCAGAGGTGGACTGGTCTTGTAGTCGCCTAAGACAGGCCTCACGATTAAGTTCCCTTGCTTATTAAAACTGCCACCTGCCCAACAGGAGCAGCCTGACTATTTTTTCTTTGCCCTCTGCTTACGAGGCCAGGGTGCAAACCAACACCTCTCCTTTAAAAGATAAGGACCCCTTTAACAATAGAACCACAGTTTCATTATCACACTTAAAAATATTAATAATAATTCTTTAAAATCTTCAAATCTCCAGTCAGGGCTCACATTTCCCCAGTCGTCTCATAATTTTTACTTTTTATGGTTTGCTCGAATCGGGACCCAAATAAAGTCTATATGTTACAAGCAATTAATATATCGAAGATTTTCTTTTTTATTCCTAAGTCCACAGTTCCTTCCTTTCTCTTTGCAATATACTGGTTGGAGAAACTAGGTTGGTTGTTCTGGGGAGTTTCCCACAGTCTGGGTTCGCTGGTTGCTCCTGGTTCACGCCCTATCTGGCAAGAGAATACCCTAGGTCTCATTCTCAGAGTTCACCCCGTTTCTCCTGCTGCTTACCTTCTTAGTGATCTCATCCAGTGTCGTGGGCTTAAATGAACACTGATCGCTCTCCCTGAACTGCAGACTCAAAGACAGAACCACCCACTCGCTGTCCCCACTGGGAGTCCTAACGGGCATCTCAGGCTCCGCGCGTCCACTTCTGGTCTGCTGGTTCCGCCTTTTCCAATGCGACCGAATCAGCGAAGTGTGAGTTTTTGATGCTCCACGTCATCGCTAACACTTGGTGTCATCAATCTTTTCACCTTCCAGCCATTCAAGTGGGTATGTAGCGGCATCTCACTGTGGGTTAAATTTTCATCCCAATAACTAATGATGTTGATACTCTCTTATGGACTTATTTTATTTTATTTTTTTAATGAACTTTAGATTTCTATCTTTTCTATTTTCCCCATTGGCTTATCTTCTTACTGAATCGTAAGAGTTCTTTTTATATTCTGGATATAAATCCTTTGCCAGATATGACAGCCCATGCTTTTAAGCACTCCTCGTTGCTTGATTGAGGGTAGGAATTTAAATAGGAGAGAGATGATTGTGTCTTAGACTAGGATAGGGGTTTAGATGGAGCAAAGTCGATGGAATTTTAAAATAATTTTTCAAAAACCGCAAGGGATTCTGGGTCTCTTTGTCTTTCCCTTTTCTCTTTTAAATGCTCTTAAATATATTTAAGAAATCAAACCTGAATCACTTCTATGCTTGAATTAACTACAGGAGATGTTTCAGGAACCTAGGACATACGCTCTGTTCCTGTTCCTTGTGCTGAGTCATGGGGTGGCAAGTCACAGAGTTCCAAATTCCAGGCAGGGTAAGTCCCGAAGGAGGAGCCATCTGTCATGGTTTCCCCACATCTGAGGGAAATGGAGCGGGGATGGATCAATTTAAGTACATGATGCTGTAAAGTGTGTGTGTGCGTGTGTGTGTGTGTGTGTGTGTGTGTGTGTGTACGTGAATGCACGCATGAGCACCTCTGTGTAGGATCTTCAGGATTATTCTAGAAGGGTTTTTAAACCACGATTTTCTCACATCAGGCACATACAGACACAGGTATAATTAAAACCCACTAAAAATGTCCTTCACGACTGGTACGCGATGCTGTAAAGTGTGTGTGTGTGTGCGTGTGTGTGTGTGTGTGTGTGTGTGTGTACGTGAATGCACGCATGAGCACCTCTGTGTAGGATCTTCAGGATTATTCTAGAAGGGTTTTTAAACCACGATTTTCTCACATCAGGCACATACAGACACAGGTATAATTAAAACCCACTAAAAATGTCCTTCACGACTGACTTTATGGGGGGAGGGGCCCTTTCCCTGGCCCACGTTCGTATTTTCGAAGGTCGCACAGTTCACTTCTAGTTATCCACGCAATGGCTTTCTTGCAGAGTTGCCTCCTTTGTTGCAAAAAATGGCGGTGAGTATTTCATTTTCTTTTCATCGAAACCCCTGCTACCGGAACGGCCGCTTTTGGCTGTCCCTCCTGATATTATCTCTTGGCCTTTTAGGAGGAAATAATAGACGGAAGCTACCTGAATGGTAATGTCCCCGCTTGCTGCTGCCTCTCAGAATTTCACACCTAATGCGCCTGTGATTTCTCTGGAGTGATTCCTTTTGAAGTTGTCTCTTCATTTTATTCCCATTTTAGCGTTCCTGGATCTCATACAGTTTCAAAGGTAACCTACTACAGAGAGGAGAGGATGGGGTGGCATAAATTTTCCATAAAAATGCTCGACGGATGTCTCGTAATTGTAAAAAGGAATACACCCTCGTTACAAAAAATGTCAGCCGAGGCGCAGGTGTCTTTTTAGGGAGGTCTGTTTGTTCCACAGACTTCGCTCCAGCACAGGAGCTGACATTCACTGAGCACTCACTGTGCAGCAGGCACTGTGCTAAGTGCTTTTGCAGAGAGACACATGTGATCCCAGGGTAGGTCTGTTGTCATTCCATGGGACAGAATGATGAAACGAGTCCCAGGGCGGTTGGGTCAAGGTCAGAGGTCTGGGAAGTGGTGGGCTGTGCAGCCAGCAGCCAGGCTTCGGGAGGGCGCGGGAGAGTGTTGTAGAGAGACACACATCAGCAGGCGATTCTAATAGAACGAACACTGTGAAGGAGCATCGGCCCGGACAGGGCAAGACCCCCATAAACACTCCTCTCCCCAAGATGACTCCAATGGACGGTTTTGGATATATTCTTTCAGGCTAAAAATTGTATTTGTTTATTCATTCATTCCCTTGTTCATCTCCTTAGAAATGGGGTTACGAAAGGCCTTCTGATTGCTTACGGTGGGAGGGTTTATCTACTGTCAATCGGCCCATCTCTCCTTTTTCATTGATGAGTGGTATTCCACCGAGTGGATCTGCTGTCTTGTTGAACCTTTCACCCGTCGCTGGACGTTTTGAGTTATTCCCATTTTACCTATTCTGAAGGAAACTGTGCATTTTCAAGGCCTTGGGCACTGTTTTAAGCACTTTAGTTGAACGAACAGGTCGAATCCTCACAGTTGTTAGCTGTATGACACAGAAGGAGAAACCGAAGCACAGGACAGTTCAGCAAATTGCCTAAGGCCACACCGTTAAGTGGCAGAGCCGGGATTCAAATCCAGCTTTGGAGCCCACGCCTCTCACAGCGCCCGTCCAGCCCCTCACGGCGCAAGCGCAGCACCCGCCTTTTAGACTTGATTTAGTAGGGACGTCTTTCTAAGTCTCTCTGTTTGGCTGGTAGTTGGTTTAAGCAGGTTGCTATGGGAATTAGAATATTGCACACAGCTCATAAATTGATAATCGTCATTGGGAGAATGGTATCCAGTTGGATTCCCAGAATTGGAAACTCCCCCACACGCCACTCACAGACAGCCACACGCGAAGGTTCTGGCCCCACTCCCAACCCCCGCCCAATCCCACCATCCACTCTGAACTCCGAGCCCCTGGTCACTCCGCTAGTTAGGGAACTCCTTTCACAGGGGAACTGTCATCGTGACTTTCTCCCGTCTGTCTTCAACTAAAGCACCCATGTGTGGACGGCAGACCTGTCCCATGGAGTCCTGGACTACCTGAATTCACGGAACGTGGCCTTCACCATCCCCAGCCTGCAGGTATGTACCCGAGACCCACCCACACGGGTTCCCCTCTCCGTGCTTAGGGGTCACAAACTCAGGGGCCAGGTAAGTTGGAGCAGTGGGCTAGGCACAGAGCTAGTCTTCACTTGCCCAGAGAATCGTGTTCTGTCCTTGAAACATGATACACGCTCTGTCTGTCTTTCCTTTGCCTGCCTTTGATGGAGACATGCAGCTAGTCTTCACTTGCCCAGAGAATCATGTTCTGTCCTTGAAACACGATACACGCTCTGTCTTTCCTTTGCCTGCCTTTGATGGAGACATGGTTTTGGGGGTATAGGCCAAGCTGCTGTAACAGAGACCCCAAATGACAGCAGCTCAGACTACTGAGTTCATTTCTAGCTCATGTAACAGTCCACGGCCCGGTGGGAGATGAAGTAGGGAGAGGCAGCCGCCCAGGGCCCAGGTTCCTTCTCTCTCATTGCTTTGTCATCCTCTGGGGTGGGGGGTGCTGCTGCCGCCGCCCACATGATTGAAGGGCGGGGTGGTGGGAAAGGGGAAGTGCCAGGTGAGCATCTTCTCTTTGAAGGACGTGACCTACGGGTTGCACACCTCCTTCCGCTTCCCTTCCTCTGGCTCACAGCCCAGTCACACCTTACCGCCGGCCTTTCTGAGGGCCCGTGGGCGCAGCTCGGACGTGTGTGCTTCTGAGGCTAAAAGGAGCCACAGGATCTTTGGGTTTAGTTATCACGCTCTTACTCGTGGGTCCGAGATACAGTTTTCTTCATTTTTAACTCCATGAGAAAAGCAGTAGCAGAAGCATGTGGATGGATGGCGATGGACATTGGCCTCAGGGAGCAGCAGGGCATGGTGGGGACCGTGGGCCACCGGACAATACCTGTGTCATTAGCGCGCGCAGCAGCCCAGGGCGGTGTGGTCTGTCTTTACCTTTACACTGTAAAATAGCACAGAAAATTGAGGACGTATCCTTCCAGGATTCAAGAACTATTATCTGATTCGGCAAAGAATTCAGGTCATGGGTAAACGACGTGCTGACATCTTTGTTGTTTCAATTTTTACTTTCTTTTTAATGAAAATGAAAATATCAGGCAACACGCACGTGAGAACTCTGATAGACAGAGTTTGTATCATGTTTCAACCGACTCAAAGAGCTGGTGGGTAACTCCTTCCCGGGATGCTGGAGGCGCCGTTCGTCCATTTAAGGGAGCTGATGCTGGCCCCTGCTCTCTCTAGCAGTTTGGTTTCTCATGAGATGTATCTATTTTAACCAGATCGGTAGGTATACTACCTGTCTTCCTGTATGTAAATATGCACTCAGCATCTATTTACCTGGCATCTACTTTCTGCCAGGCACAGTTCTAGACACTGCAGACTCAGAGGAGAACGAGGCAGCCATGTTATCACTCAGGTGGGCCTTTCATTCCAGGGGGAGAGACGTCGAGTAAATAATTATTCAGCTATTGACCACGTACTGTGTGCCAGGGACCAGTGAAAACACGACACACTCATTTAAGCCTCATGACAACCCTCATAGTAGGTCCGACTATTGTCGCTATTTTCAGCTGGGGAAACTGAGGCGAGCGTCAGTGTTGCAAATTAAAAGCACAAGGTGCCCAGTGAGATTTCACTTGCATGACGAATAACTTCTTTTCCATTTTAAGTATATCCCATGCAATAGTTGGGAGATGCTTATGCTAAAGAGTTATTTGTCGTCTACCTGCAAGTCAGTTTTAACTGGGCACCCTGTCTTTCATCTAGCGATCCATGTTAGGTGACTTGCCCAAGGCCACACGGCCAGTAGCTGGCGGGGTGGACATTTGCATGTGGGTTGCTTGGTCCTGGAGCCCATCTTTTACCCACGACATCATGCTAGGCTACCTTCTAGAGCAGCTCCGTGTCAGGGAGATTTAGGAAGTGACTCCTCAGGTGGCAGAGGAAGTCTCTGTCAGGAGAGGCAGCTGGCCTCTGCTCCTTGCCCTAGAGGGGGCCACAGGGACTTCGTTCCTGCTGGATGTTTGTCCTGCACTGGGAGCTTGGGACACAGGACGGGACGTGAGCAGGGCCCCCCGGGCTGCGAACTTTCTGGGCTGCTCTGAACTTGGGACTGCAGTCACCCGAGGGGCCAGGCAAGCCGTGGAGGGGTGGGCTGCCTGGCGAGCGTGAGCAGGAGAGTAGTCACACGAGCCACAGCCCCTCTCTGCCTGCTGGTCCTTACCAGACGTGGACGTGTGCCCAGTGTCGCCATGTCTCCGTGTTTTCCAAGAGAAGTTGAGAATCTGGATTTTTTGAGGGATCCCCTGGCTTTTAAATGTCTGCAGGTAATGAAAAGCTTCGGAGCCAGCCCACCCAACCACGTGCAGGCTGCGGGCCTGTGGTCCCTGCAGGCGGGTGGGTGGCCCGGCCGGGCTGCTGGCCATGGTGCTGACCATGGCCCTGTCCTGTCCTCACGGTCCCTCCCAACATCCCACATCCAGGCCGCCATGGAAAACCACCTGCAGCAGCGTCTGTACCAGCCCCAGAAGCTGCTGGAGGACCTGAGGGACACAGAGGCCCAGCAGTTCCGCACGGCCGTGAAATACCTCCTAGAAGACAAGGAGGGCCGCCTGGTGAGGTGGGGTCCAGGGCCAGGCCGTACGTGTTGTGTTGACACGAACTGAGCTCGAGTTGGGTGCTGACCTTTCTTTATCCCCGCCCACACCTCCCTCTCCCCCCGCCCCAGGGCTTTGGGACCCAGATTTTCTTACTTTCTCCAAAGTTCAAAGGAAGAGCTGCTTCCTCCTCTGGATACTGAGCAATGAGGGGGGATCGAGGGGCTTCTGATAGTTTGGCTCGATTAATGTCCATAAACAGTTGCTACGCATGCGGGGACCCAGGGTTCAGAGCCAAAAGATGGTCCCTGCTTTCAAAGAGTTCCCGGTCTGGAGGGAGGACAGGAACCAGAAGCAGGTAATTTTCACAAAGTGAGCTTGGCGAGGGAAGAACAAAGCCGGGGGGCCAGCAGGGCGGGGGTGGCCACGGGTTAGGGTGGAGGTTTTTCCCAAACGGAGTCAAACCACTGAAAACACTTTAATCATCGTGCAAACACTTCGTCTGTTGTCACAGGAGGGCAGACGCTACACACCTGTGAGCTTGGAAGAGACGTAATGCTCCCTTCTTAAATGCATTTAGGTTTTGGAAAAAGAGTTTAAGGGAAAACAGGAAGGAAGCAGTAGGAAAGGCAGAGGTGGGCATGGTGTTCCGCGAAAGCGTGTTCGATTAACGCTTATCGAGGGTTCACTACACGTCAGGTATTGTCCCAAGGGAAGGTCGGCAAACTGTTTCCGTTAAGGGCTGGACAGGGAATATTTTAGGCTTAGCAGGACAAGTAGTCTCTGTCACAGCTATTCACCTCTGCCACTGTAGCAGGAGAGCAGGTGAAGGGACAGCAGGTAAGTCACTGGCTGTGGACGTGCTCTAGTAACATTGTAGTCACAGGCCAGGTCTGGTCCAAGGCTGTAATATACACGAACCCCCCGAGTCCTCTCCAGGACCTTCTGAAATAAGGGTAAGAAGAATCTTATTTCAATACTCAGATGAGGAGATGGGCTTGGAGAGGTTAAGAAGTAACCGGGGTCGCCCGGCTCGAAAGTGGCAAATCTGAGGTTGGACCTTAGGCTCCCGACTCCGGCCCTCTGGTGTCTGGTGACACCCACGGTCCCCCTCTCAGAATAATATGTTAAAATCTGTAAAATAAAATACAAAGAATTACAAAAGAAGCCAATTCTATTGAAAGACATTTTTTAAGTTATAAAATAAAAAGCAAATTTGGAGTATAAAAATTTATGTGTTTCTTTAACACATCCAATAACCAGATTTAGCAGTGGGTCTTGTAGCTTCTGTAATTTTGAGGAAGTATCGAGTGTAAACGAGATTTCAAGACATGATCATACGGTGCTATGAACGTCTGTGATTCTGTGGGTGACAGTCAAAGGTCCTGCTGCTACCTTGGTGGCTTGTTGCCTACATTCATCCCTGAAGGGACTACTAGGCACCGATTCTATGGCAGTGAAAATAAAGGTGCAGTTTCCCCCCAGTAGTCACAGATGCCCTAAATTCTATGCAGATTGTGACTAAACCCTGTGAGCATTACTGGGTTCTTTGAGTCAAAGCGTTCATGCACGCATGCACGCATGCAAACAGGCTATTTCTCAGAGTCTTGTAGGCATCAGGCACCCCAGTAAGCACGTGCCTTAGGCCTCGAGGACTGTCTCGGCTCAACCCCAGCTGTGCATTAGGGTCAGGTGCCAGGGCTGCCCCCTGGACCAACTAAATCAGACTATGTGGTGGTGCTGGGGTCACCTCTCCGGTGATGCTGATGTCCGGGGCCTGTGAGCATCCCCAGTGCATCGCAGGGTTTGGTTCAAGATGTCCTTTGGGGCATATTGTGGGGGAGAGTTGATCTGACCAAAGTAGGGAGACATCAGAGGACGTCACCTATCAGGTGGCAGTTGAGCTTAGCCTTAAAAGACGAGCTGGATCTCGCGAGGGGAGGGAGGTTGGGGGAAGGAATTCCAGCTACCGCCAGCTGCTGAGGGCGACAGTCCTGGTGTATCTGGAGAGCGAGAAGTTGCCTGGTGTGCGTGAAGCAGGTGGAGA